AAGCGAAATTAAGTGGAGTACATTACAATTAACATTTTGAGTCTTTGACTTTATTTGGCTAACTCCGTTTCTTAGTATATTCCATTTAGAATAAATGGTAAATACTTGAGGCAAAAAGTATGCGGGAGCAATAAAGATGATACTGGCATCGCAGGTTTCTATATATCATCAGTAGTGCTGGTGCAGCTAAGTCTCACTCGGAAGGCATCCTCAAGAAGATGGTCGCGCAGGCTCCAAACTGCCTCTGTGATACTTGCTAGCCCACAGCCTGCCTGCCCGGTGAGAAATGAGGCCGTCAAGTGGGGCCAATTGACCAGTTGAGAAGCTGAATGGGCCGGATCACCAACCGGAAATGGACGAGTTGACAATTGGTTGCACCAATCGCTTAAACCAATGCTGCCATTACTATTATTCCCAGCAGAGGCATTACTTGATAAGCCGTTCTTGCGCAGTCTGTCAATGTACCTAAAAAAAGAACGCAATACACAAGCTAGTTTTTAGCATAAGATCGATGCACAGGAGCATCTACACAGCAATAACCAATGAACATTAAAACTCCGAGTTTTTCCTCTCTATTTTGCAATTATTAAAAAATTAAAGGGATGACGATATGTAAGGAGTCAAAATTGATTAAGATTTCAGAAATTATAAAATTGATTAGAAAGTGGTGATTATTTTGGCTTAAAAATTTCGGTCGCAATTGCTAAATAGTCATAAAAAGGTTAGAAATCTATCTCTAAGGTCGTGTGTTCAGAATTGATTTTAGCTAAATAAAAATGAATCAGTAAAGCCTTAATCGATCGAAGTTTCAATGTAGGCATAAAATGCAATGATCGTCGATATGAAGACAAAAATGTTGTGACCATTTGTTTCGTCGTAGTCTCCCTTAGCTTTGTAGTGTTTGTTTGACTTAGTTTCCGAAACCTGGTCGGAGCACCAGAAAGACCTTGTAGAAAATACCCAGTGATGGGTTATTAGACATAGTATCCGTGATTTACAGCATCGGATCATCGACTTGGTACATCCTCAAGCGATTCGCCGACCTAGGCATTAAGAGGCGCCATCGTCAGCACAGAGTTACAACTTATCAAAGTGACAAGTGAAGGCAGCCATCTTGACCAATTTTCTGTTTAACCACTATGACATCATATCTTGACCATATTTTTAGTCCTAGCTTCTAGTGCTGCATGTCTTTCTCTCAATCCCGCATCATATCGCCCATTTTCTATTCATATAATTATGTTCATTCCAATGTGTCCTAAGAGTGTGTCGCTACGAATGGATTTAGTGGTGCGTAATCATCCTCAACACTGGTTCCAGATGCGGTTTGCAGGGCTTTTGATTTTCATTCAACC